GGATTGCCGACAGCAACAACACAAACAAAAGAAGCGGTTGAGAGAGCTGGCGCGGGAGGACAACGAGGTCCTACGAGCGTTGACTGCCCAGCGAGACCACGAAGCCGCAGTGGTGGCGAAAAAGCGGCGCCTGGCTCTGGAAGCGAACGACAGGACGAAGGCGTTGCACGATCTCAAGAAGCAGATTCGAGAGGCCGAGGCCGCCTTGAGGGCAAAGAAGGAGGCCGCAGTTGCGGTGGAAACGGCTTTGGCTAACAAACACGCCCTAGCGCAGTGGAATCCCGAGGAGTTCAAGATCAAGAAAAACAGGATGGCAGCTCTGGATCGCCTGGCTCGCGGAAAAGGCGTCCTCTCAGACGAGCAGAGGGGGGAGTGGGCATGGTTCAAGACGCATTGGGACGAGGAGATGTGCAAGCAGCACAAGGAGCAATGGCCGCTCACGTTTGCTGGGTGGCTGCAAAAAGTCGCGAACGACGCGGCGTCTGGGAACCGTTCGGCGCTGTCGCAGTTCGTGCATTCGGAAACAGTGAGAACCCTGGGAGGGCAAATGGCGCTGGTAATCCCAGCCCTAGCGTGATGCAGGCCGCAGTTGCGGACCCACAGGAAGTCCAGAGGGAAGTTGTTTTTCCAAGCGGCTCCCGCGCGGGCAGGAGATGAGGCAAAACCGCAGTTGCGGTCTTCCTGCTGCTGTGAAAATAATCCTTTCACAGTCCCTTGCAATCGTCGCCCTCCTTCTGCTTCTCCGCCAGTCCATTTGTTGTTCTTTCGGTTCCTTTGAGTCCTCGCCCTCCTTCTGCCACTCCTCGAATCCTCTTTGTCTCCTCCCTCCATCCGACCCCATGCCCATTCACGATCCATTTCCGTAGCCACCGTGGCTCGAGGTGGCGCACGCGAAGACGCAAGCATGTGGCCGCCCGCGCGCCCGAGCGCATCCTCAGGGAGTATGGACCGTGGACCTCGATTCGCCAGAACGGTGTTCATCCACAACGCTGAGGAGGAGGAGGGAGGCAAAGACGAGGAAGCCGCAGTTGCGGATGATGACGACGACCAGCGGACGCAAGATGGCGACAGCACCGTCGCGTCCTCGGCTGCCTCCGCTGACGAGGCTGAGTCCCGGGGAGGTGCGGGAGCCGCAGTTGCGGCAGCACATGACTCCTACATGCCGAGAGTGTTGTCGTCGCGGAGAACCTGGAAACGGGTGCCCATCATCGAGACAAGCAATCTGTCGGAAAAACAAAGAGCTCTTGTCGACGCATGGGAGGAGAAAACGGAGTTCGAAGCGGGACGGGTCGGCTTCTACGTGGCCAACTTCGGAGGGACTGCAGCTAGACCCACGCAACGCGCGGACGAGTGGGCGCAGCTCCGCGCGAACCCTGCCCAGATCATCGCCCTCTGCGAGTGCGACGACGAGACCTGCGCGGTACTCAGTGGGGAGCACGACGCGAGGGACAGTGCAGCCGCAGTTGCGGACGATAGGTTTCGGAGTCGGACTCAATACAACTACCTGTGCGTTAAGGGCGGCGAGCCATCAGGGACCCTCCTTGTTGGCATGAGGGACCGCAGTGGCGGCCACATTGAACACGTAGACTTTGCGAGACTCTTCCACAAGCAGGAGAAGTCCAAAACGAAGAAGAAGAAGAAACAGTCCGCAGTTGCGGAGGCTCCTGCGCCAAAGCTGCACAACAAGTACTCCAGGGCGATGGTGGTGCGCGTCCACCTGGACCAGGCCGTGCCCCATTTGGGGGGCTCCTTCAACGTCATGGCGGTGCACGTCCACCACAGCTTGGCCAACCAAGACTGGGGCGTCACGAAGCTCCATGAGTTCTACAACTGGTTCGTCGCCTACGTCAGGGAATGGGACGTGAAGGTCTGCATGGGGGACTTCAACATGTGCATGTTCCAGCTTGTGTCCTGGTGCCGCAATTGCGGCCTGACTGTGGACGTCGCCGCGTGGACCCCCTGGAAGACAGCAGGCGGCCAGCCCAGGGCAGACAGCATGGCGATTTTGTTCATAAACTGTCCTGGGCAGTACAAGCTTCACCATGGCCTGAGTGTTCTGCACGACCGTGAGGGCGGATTCTTGACGACCCAGCATGATCCGTCTTTCCCTGTCTTCGACTACACGAATGGCCCTGGGAAGATGCTTCAGACTTACGTGCCCAAGGCTGAGCCCGTTGAAAACAAGATGCGCGCCTTCCTGACGCCATCTGGCGAATCCTTGACCGCAGATGCGGAGTTCGAGCAAAGGATGGCGCGCAGGGAACGCGACGATTGGGTGCGCTATCCCTTCAGAGTGAAGCAGGGCAACCTCGACGACAAGATATGGCATGGCGCCTTCGGCAGGGCGAGGCACGGAGCGCACTTCCCTCTGGTGGCTTTCACGCACAATACGTGCCGCAGGTCACCTGAAAGACTCGCCGCGAGGTTGGAACGCAGGAAGGGCGGCAGGAAGGGCGGCAAGAAGGGCGGCAAGAAGGGCAGCTACGCGGACACCGCAGTTGCGGGGAAGGGCGTCCGACCCCAGATGGGAACCGCAGTTGCGGGGAGAGACGCTGGGGCTGAGCGAGCTGGGAACACGCCACCGCCGCAAGCTGCCAACGGCGACGATGCGACCCCTTCTTGTGCCGCAGTGGCGGCTGGGTCCTGGGACGCCAGCGGCAGCGGCGCATGGGAGGCGCGCAGTCCCGCCACGAGATGGCAGGGCTGGTCCTGGTGGGACTGGAGCTCGAGCGAATGGGGCGCTGATGGCGCGCAGTGGTGGCCCTCTGATCATGCCGCAGTTGCGGACAATGCCCCTGAGGGCTCGCCTCCTCAGCGTGAAGTCGAGTGGGGCTCGAGCGGGCGACCTGCCGAGCGCCCTCCGTGGAGCTTCGAGGCGCAGCGTTGGTGATGGCCGCAGTTGCGGGCAAGTGGAGCATGATGTTGATTGCCGCAGTTGCGGACAGTGTACGCTGGAAAAATCATCATCATCATCAATCATAATCATCATCATATCATCATATCATACGTTCAAAGCAGTGCCGGGGCACTGCTTTGAACGCGTTCAAAGCAGTGCCGGGGCACTGCTTTCGATCGTCGCCTCGTCGCCGTTATAAGGGCTTTCGGATTATATAGCGGGGGCGTCCGAGGATGACATTACGATAGATGTGCGCCGCGTTGACGCGGCCGCGACCTCAGCGCGGACGTTCAAGGTTGAACGCCGCTGGTGGCCCAGAGTCGCCGATGTCCGATATCAAGCGATCTGCGCTATCGGAGAGCCCGGATCGTTCACGGTTGAACGATTCACGAGGCGTCAGAAACCAACGCCGGCGGCAGCGCGACGCGAACTAGCCGTGAGGGAGGTTGGACACCATGTCAGGGGCAACGATTAGGGGGGGGTAGTTACCCTGACCTTCCAGAGAGCTATTGTTTAGCACTGGAGGCCTAAAAACCTAAAAAACTAAACGAAACAGCCTAAAACCAAGACGTAGAATAGCTCTGGGATAGGTTTTTAGGTCGGGTGCTATTTTTTCTGCCCTCCTGGAAGGTCAGGGTAGGCGCAGGGGGGAAACATGGACCCCCAACCGCCCATGCAGCCCCCCATGCATCGCCGACAGAGGCCCGACGGCCCGCTCCGCCCGGGAAGGGGGCGGACTCGCGGTCGGGGGCCGATCGGCGATCTGTCAACGAGGCATCGCCGACTCCAGGTCGATGTGACCCTTCCCCGCCCCCCCCCCTGAGCCCCAGATCCCCTCGAGTAATGAAAAAATCATGACGGAAGGTTTTCCTCTATTTTCGGCCTCCAGGGGCCCTCACTGGGCCTCGGGAGCTTCAAAAAACGACTCGGGATGCAAAGCCGGTCATGGGGAAAGGGTCGGGACCTCTGGGGGGCGACGTAACGAAAAAATCATTGCGTCGGGTGTCTGGGCCCTGAGCTGTGGACCCCCCTTCTCGTTGCCCCTCGTCATGGTTGGGGCCCAGGTCTCCCAGGGAACCTCGTGGTCTCTTGGCCCGGGAGGAGGGAGGAGGGAGGAGGGAGGAGGGAGGAGGGACCTCGTGGACCCCCCCCGAGCTGGGGCCCAGGTCTCCCAGGGAACCTCGTGGTCTCTGGGGTCCCCCGGCGGGGCCCCCTCCTCGACGCCTCGGCCCGCGAAGGGCCGCCCTCGGGCCCCCGGGGGGGGGCCACGGGGCAGGGACCCGGGACGGAGAGCTCTCCCCCGGGGGGGCGGCACGTCGGGACCTCGGGCCGCGGGGCGGAGCAGGGCCAGCTCGGCGCCTGGCCCAGGGGGGCACCCCCCAGACCCCCTCGAGTAATGAAAAAATCACGACGGGAGGTTTTTCCTAATTTTCGGCCTCCGGGGGCCCTCACCGGGCCTCGGGGGCGTCAAAAACCGACTCAGGATGCAAAGCCGGTCATGGGGAAAGGGTCGGGACCTCTGGGGGTCGACGTAATGAAAAAATCATGACGTCGGGGGTCTGGGGGCGGAGCAGGGCCAGCTCGGCGCCTGCCCCAGGGGGGCACCCTGACCTTCCAGAGAGCTATTTTTTAGCACTGGAGGCCTGGACACCTAAAACACTGAACGGAGCAGCCCAGAACCAAGACGCAGAGCAGCTCTGGGATAGGTTTTTAGGTCGGGTGCTATTCTTCAGCCCTCCGGGAAGGTCAGGGCAATGCGGCCTCCCAGGTCGCCCTCCCGCCCCCCCCCCCCCCCTCGGGGGAAGGAGAAGCAGCACCGCCAGGGGGGGGCACCTCCGGGGAGGACACCTCCAGGGGGAGCCTGCCCCCCCCCCCCCCTCTGGGGCTGCTCCCGCTGGCGGCGGTGGTGGCGTCGCTTCTCCCTGTCCCTGCCCTCTTCGGCGCCCCTTTCGGCCTCTCCGGCGGCTCCTCGCCTCGCGCGTTCCCTCTTCCTTCGTGCCTCGCTGTGCTCTGGCGCGCCCCGCCGCCGCTCGACCGCCGTCTGAGGCTCCTGCGGCCGCAGGCTCAAGGCTCCTGCCCTCTTCGGCGCCCCTGGGCATGCAGTATGGAGGCGCCCGCGCGGTCTCCGGGGAGGCGCGTGCTGGGGCCCCTGGCGGCGCGGCTGTCGAACCTGCTGGGCGGCCCGGAGGAGGCGCCCCAGATCCCCGACAGCAGGAGACCCAAAGCCTGGGCGCCGTTCGGACGGCGGGGTGTCTCGTGCCCTCCGTGTCGGAGGGCGCTGCGGCCGGGAACTTTGGCGCGGCGTGTCGCGCCGCCGGCTTTGGCCCACCCGTCCTCGCCCCGGTCCCCTGGCATCAGCCTGCCGAAGGCTTACCAGTCTCCCGCCCCGCCGAGTGCAGCGACGCGCTATCCGCTCGCAGGGCATATGTCGCCAGGGCCGCCGCCGTGACACGCCGAGCACAAACTCCTGTCCGTAACTGTGTTGCCGTGGCGACGCCATGCCAGGCCGCGATGCAGCGGAGCAGGCGTATCCCGTGCGCTGAACCTACGATTGGTGCGGGGCAGTATCTGGCCTTCCTTCGAGCAAAGACGAATGCCGTAGAGGGGGCCCCAACTACTCCGCCGAGAGGGGTGGGAGGTTCGTCGATCGATTCCAGGCAGGGTGATGGCGCTTTCGCCTTGGCGGAGTATGCGGCCACGCCGATCGCACCCGGGCCCAGACCCCCGACGTAATGATTTTTTCACTACGTCGACCCCCAGAGTTCCCGACCCTGGCTTTGCATCCTGAGTTGTTTTTTGACGCTCCCGGGGCCCGGTGAGGGCCCCCGGAGGCCGATAATTAAAAGACCTCCCCTGACCTTCCAGAGAGCTATTTTTTTAGCTATGGAGACCTAAAAACCTAACCAACTAAACGAAACAGCCTAAAACCAAGACGTAGAGTAGCTCCGGGATATGTTTTAAGGTCGGGTGCTATTTTTGTTAGCCCTCCTGGAAGGTCAGGGGGCCCGTCATGACTTTTTCCATTGCTCGAGGGGGTCTGGGCATGCGGCCACGCCGCTCGCACCCGGGCCAACACTAGGCCCGGGAGCGGGTCAGGGTGTGTACAGCCGGCGCCCTCCGGTCTTGCGCGCTCGGGTCCCGGGGGCCCGCTCGCCCCGCGCGGGCCCGCCACGCGGGCCGCGCGCTGCGGGGCCGTTTTGGTGCGTCCGAGCGCCAAGTCGGGCACGTCCCTCTACAGGAGGGATGTTCAAAAGTAGTAGGGAAGATTGCCTGGGACGATCTTTGGACCATTTCGGTGCATGTTTGAGTATTTTGTTGGGGTATCTCCCATGTTTCGTCCAAAGTCCGCCTGTGGGGGGACATGCCCGACCTAGTCCGGGCGCCTGTGGCAACCCCTTCGGGGGAAACCAGTGGCACGCGCACAAGGCGACCTCAGCGCTGGGGACGGGCTGTGCCCAGAAGGTGCGTGGCAACGCCGCCTGGCCAGCACCTTTTCGTCCACACGCACCGCCCTGCGGCCCAAGGCGGCCCTGGCCTAAGTGGTCCAGAGCTCCAGGGACTCCGCATGTAGCACGCACGCGGCAGCAGCGCCCGAGCGACGGCAAGCAGCGCGGCGTGAGGGGAAGCTTGCAGAGAGCTCCGCGTGGACCCCTTGGGCCGGCGCCGGCTCTTCACGCCTCAGGGCGCGCCCCCAGCGCGCTCCGCGCGCCAAGGTTCATCCTGTGTTTTTCTCATTTGTTCCATTTCGCACTTCACTTCTCAACCAAGCCTTGACGCACAGGCACCACCAGGCGATTCACTGAAACTTGAACGCGAAACCTTATCACATGAACCTTGAGCCCTGATACCGAATCCTTGACCCTCAAACTAAACCCGAAACCCGAAACCCGAAACCCGAAACCGGGGAGGTTTGCTTCAGTATTGGCGCTGTTGTGTTGAGAGCTGGCGCGCTCCAGTACAAGCCCCACTGAATCCCGGCTACCCGGGCTTGCTCCCTTCCAGTGCGGCCTATTCCCGAGTTGAACGCAGCCCGATCCGGCTCAGTGGCTCCGCAACCGGGCTCAACAGTTTTGGGGTTGCTGGAGGTGCCCCTGGCCCAAGGTGCCCCCAGCGTTTTGCCCGATTTTGAAGCCCCTGGGGCTCTCTGAGCCTCGTCTGCGCCTCGTGAGGGGTGCTCAGGGGGCCGCGGGGTGCTTCCCTGGAAATTTTCTGGGTGCACCCTGGGCCAGGGACACTTCTTGCAAGCACCGACGACGACGGCGACGTCGTCGTCGTCGCCGTCGTCGTACTCGTGCTTGTCGTCGTCGTCGTCGCCGTCGGTCGTCGTCGTCGTCGCCGTCGTCGCCGTCGTCGCCGCCGTCGTCGCCGTCGTCGTCGGCGCCGTCGTCGCCGTCGTCGTCGTCGTTGTCGTCGTCGCCGAATGGCCCCGAATCGTTCTTACGAAGACCTCCCATGAGTTGCCTCCTGCGGGGGAGGAGGGCATATCGGATGCCACTCCGATCCAAGAAGTCCCTGCGGACCTCTCCCACAGCCTACGCTCCTTGCGTGCTCTTGGGTCTCCTAGACGTCGCTGACGTCCGCACGGAGTCGCTGACGGTCGCCGAGGATGCGGCGATGCACGAGAGGTGTCAGAGGAAAAGGTACCGATATTGCTACCCTTGTCTCGTTTCTCCCCTTCTTGTGCCCCCCAGGAGGCCCTCGTCGCCACCGCTGGATTCGCCTCGACATTCAGGTCAGAACGCACCCTGGGAGTGGTCGGGGACGTAGCGGTATCGGTACTCCAGGTCCTCTGATAAGCCCCCACCCCGTGCCAGCCTGTCCGACGCCCCTTGCCCGCTTATTGAGAGATTTGGAGTGCGTTCTGGTTTCCCCAAGGTGGCAGTCCATGCTCAAGGGCCGGAAGCCTTCCGAGTGCTCCGATGCGGAGCTCAGGCGGCTGGTGGACGACGGGGCGCCGTTGAAGCACCGCCTGGACCTCTGGCCCCGATGGTGGGGCCAGCCAGCCGGAGAGGTCGACAAGCTTTGTTCCGAGGCTCACGGCGATCACGCCTCCCAAAGCTCGAGGGACAGAAAACGACGCAGACATACATTTCCGGAACTCCGCGCGGATTTCCTGGATCGGCGCCCCGCTCCCCTGGCGGCGCCTCCGGCGCCGCCACTGGCGCGCTCCGGGGGCCAGGAAAAGGGGTCCAGCGCCGATCCAAGAAATTCACGCGGACCTTGTGCAGTTTATGTATGTGCTGTTTTTTCTCCCTCTAAAGTCGAGCTAGACTTGAAGAGAACTCTGTCGGGCGCGTGCTCGGACGACCAGCGGGGTTCGCTAAGAAGGGTGCTCTGCGCGTATGCCGCGGTGAATCCGGCGGTTGGCTACTGCCAGGGCATGAGCTTCATCGCCGCGGTGCCTCTTCTCCTGGCTTTCTCGGAGGCCGATGCGCTCGCGGCGCTGCGCTACGTCGTCGAGCAGGTGTGCCCCGGCTACCACGGAGCCTCCCTGGAGGGGTATTTCTGCGACCTCGGGGTGCTCGATGCGCTGACTAGCCAACTGCTGCCAGAGGTACACGCGGAGCTGGTCGGCCTCGACATACCCTTCGACATTGATGGGCCTGTTTTCCACCACCACCAGAAGTTGGAGGGGAAGGAGGTCATCCTCCTCCACCTCCACCTCCTCCTCCTCCTCCTCCTCCTCCTCCTCCTCCTCCTCCTCCTCCTCCCCCTCCTCTTCGTCCTCCTCCTTCTCCTCGTTCTCCTCCTCCTTCCCCCCTCCAACTGCTGGTGGTGGTGGTGGTGGTGGAAAACAGGCCCATCCGACATGCTGGCCACGGACCACCTCCTGACGTGCGCGGCGCGCACCTGGCCCCTGCACGCCGTGGCCCGGCTCTGGGACGTGGTGCTGATGGAGGGCTCCTGTGCGCTGCTCGCCTCCTTCCTGGCGCTGCTGCAGGCCTTGATGATGGGCAACTTTTCCCACCACCACCATATGTAGGGGGAGAAGGGAGGATGGGGAGGATGGGGAGCTCCTCCTCCTCCTCCTCCGCCTCCTACACATGGTAGTGGTGGTGGAAACTGGGCCCATCAGGTCTACTTTCCGAGAGCGCTGTCGGACTCCCGCGCGGCGTGCGCGGACGCGCGTGACGTGCCGACGGACGCAGCCCAGCGTTTCCTGGCCCTGGCGCGCAGCGGGATCTCGGCCGACATCGACGCTGTGCTGCAGTGCACCCGGAGATTCATCCCGCTGGTGCTCGGGGACCTGGGCGAGGTCTCTAGGCCTCCCAGATGGGGCCCGAGCAGCTGGGGTCGGAGCATCGCGCCGCAGCGCCGATGCACCGCCAGTGCGGCTCGATGTGGAGCCCGATTCGCTTCAAGTCGACGTCGTCGACTCATCGCCCACGTTGACGATGCATCGCCAGGGCATCGCCGATGCATCACGGGCACATCGCCGATGGATCGCCAACGTATCGGCGCTGCGGCGCGGTCCTCCGACCCCAGCTGCTCCGACGACATCTGGGAGACCGCCAGAGGTGGACGCGAGCGGGCGTGCCACCTTCCTCGACAGGCTGCGCGCCCAGTTCCGCGACCAGGAGGGCGTGCCGGTCTTCACAGTTGTATCCCATGCGGGGTTCCTGCTGTTGCTGGGACGCCTCCGCTTTACGCGCTCCTGCTTCGCCTCCTCCTCCTCCTCCTCCTCCTCCTCTCCCTCCCCCCTGTCCGAGATCTTGTCATCGCCATCAGTCGTTCACACTTCTTGTCGTTCACGCTCAGACCTCGTCACACTTCGACCCATTCGTACTCAGACCCACTCATACTCTGACCCACTTACACTCAGGACCACTGACACTCCGACCCATTCATAGTTACTCATACTCACTCTCACCCAGAATGAATCATGCACATAGTCACTCATACACAGAATCACTGGCAGACTCACGCATACTCATACTCTCTCACAGTCAGACTGGCTTGTACTCAGGCTCACTCACACGCAGTCGCATCCACTCAGACTCCCTATTACACCGACTCACTCGCACTCAGACTAGCAGATTGCGAGGAGGTCTCATGCGCTGGGTTCAGCACCACAATTCAGAAAGGGCGTGTGTGCATATACATATAGCTGCATACATGTATATACATATATATATACATATATATAGGCCGTCTTGGAGGCCATCTTGGGCCAACTTGGGGCAACAAAGGCATCGACGGATGCGTTTTAAGATCCTTCCCGGGACCCCAGCGGGACGCGCCGGAGTCCCAGGGGGAGTGGAGTTCTTTGGGAAAAGAACCAACATCAAAACCGACATCATCTAGCACGCCAGGCACCCCTTTGATGAATCAACAGAGGGCGGCGGATCTAAGACGCCTACGGCGAATCACCGCCGCCCCCTGCCTTTTTGGAAGCGCCTATGTGGCCGAACGTTGAGGCCAGACCTGCCAAGCTATCGGACCATGTGTTCCCCGAATCGGTTTGGAAAGCCTTCGGGGAACACGTGGGCATCTTGAAGGTCATCTTGGCCGTCTGGAGGCCATTTTGACACTTTCGGGCCTTCTTGGAGGACGTCTTGGAGGGCTCTTGGGCAGTCTTGGAGGCCATCTTGAGCGTCTTGGAGACCTCTTGGGCCTACTTGGGGGCCTCTTGGGGCCGTGTCTTGGGCCTCTTGGGCGATCTTTGGGGGCACTTGGGCCGTCTCGGGCCGTCCGAAGGCAGAAAAAAAACAAAAGCCAGTATCCCATGGGAAAGCAATACTTTTGGCCTCTTGGAGGCCTCTTGGGCTTTCTTGGGCCACCTTAGGGCCATCTTCGGCCGTCTTGGTGGGCTCCTGGTCCGTCTGACGCCGTCGGAAGCCGTTTGGGGGGCCTCTATGGGCCGACTTGGGGCCCTTTTGGAACTTCTAGGGCCGTCTTGGGGTGGTCTTAGGGGCCCCTTGGCGCGTCGGAAGCCCGACAACGCGAGAACGCGAAACATACCGAACAGCACAAGGAACACCAATGATTTTGGCCTCTCTGGGTCCTTGGGGGTCCTCTCGGAGCGATCTTGGGGCTTTTTCGGGTCATCTTGGGCAGTCTTGGGGCCATCTTGGGCGCCTTGGAGCTTTCTTGGGCTGTCTTGGAGGCCTCTCGGACCCTCTTGGGCGCCTTCTGGGGCCCTCTTGGCACGTCTTGGGGTCCTCTGGCCTCTGTAAAGTCATGCGAGGCAGCCCAAAAAAGCGCGGGAGCACCCAGAAAATTTGGAAACGTGGGCCCCAGCATCTCGAATCTCATAATCCCAGGGTCCTGAGTGCAGAGAACAGTGGCGCCTGGAGAAAACTCAACGTCGTGCCCGAGGCATGGTGGCGGATCTCTGCCGATTTTCTAGCTTCAGCACTCCACGGGGGAGCCGCCAGGGGTGGTTTCACCCCCCCGTTTGCGGCCAGATTGCAGGGACGTCTCAGGCGGATTGCATGTTTGATGGCCCAGTCTCTTTTGCTTGCAGAGCATCTGGCAAAGGGGTGGTTTCACCTCCCCGGTCGCGGCCAGATTGTGGCGATGTCCCAGGCGGTTTGCTGGTGTGTTTCCATGGGAAGCTCCGTGGTCACCTGTAGCCGTCTTGGGGCGGGCCTCAGGCCCCTCAGAGCATATCGGCAGTATTTTAAGCTATATTGAACCATATTGGAGGTAATTTTCTGCTGTCTGAGGCCATCTTGGAGCCATCTTGGGCCATCTGCATTATTCTTACTAATACGACTTATGAATACTACTACTACCATTACTACTACGCCGATCTCTTCTACTCCTGCGACTATTACTACTCCTACGACTGCTTCTACTACTACTACTACTACTACTACTACTACTACTACTTCTACTACTACTTCGACTACTACTACTACTACTACTACTGCTACTACTACTACTACTACCAGTTCCATTACTACTACTACCACCACCACCACCACTACTACTACTACTACTACTACTACTACTACTACGACTACTACTACGACTACGACTACGACGACGACGACGACGACTACTACTACTACTGCTACTACTACTACTACTACTACTACTACTACTGCTACTACTGCGGCGACTACTACTACTACTATGGCTACTACTACTACTACCACTGCTGCTGCTGCTGCTACTACTACTACTACTACTACTACTACTACTACTGCTACTACATCAACTACTACTACTACTACTACTACTACTACTACTACCACCACTACTACTACTACTACTACTACTACTACTACTACTACTACTGCTACTACTACTACTACCACGGCTTCTTCTTCTACTA